CCCCCCCCCCCCCCCGCTGCAGACTCCTCTCCAGGTCATGGCTACCCAAATCAAACTCAGTTCTCCTCCTCCTCCGCTCCAGCTCCCACTTGTCTGAATCACCACTGGGTTCACAGCCGACTACAGAGCCTCCTGAAAGACCCCTCAGTTTTTATTTCTCTTCCCTGCTGTCATAAACCCATGAGAACAATCTTTCTGTATCAGGTCCTTCCTCTATGTAACATAAGTCCCAAGACCTTCCTCTGCATTTTGAATAAAAATCCAAATAAATAAATATATTTATTTATTATGTGGCTTGGTAACTTTGGTACACACACACACACGTGTGTGTGTGTGTGTGTGTGTGTGTGTGTACACATATGTGCATACAATAACAATAAAATGGAAGGCAGGGTATTTGAAGCAATGTAGGGAGGGGCACATGAGAGGGCTTGGATGGAGGCGAGGGAAGGAAGAAATGTAATTATAATCTCAAAAAAAAGTTTTGGTTTTTTTTTTTTTGTTGTTGTTGTTGTTTATTTTTTTTTTTTGAGACAGGGTTTCTCTGTGTAGCCCCTGCTTTCCCGGAAGTCACTCTGTAGACCAGGCTGACCTTGAACTCACACAGACCCTCCTGCCTCTGCCTCCTGAGTGCTGGGATTAAAGGCGTGCGCCACCATCGCCCAGTTCAATTTTTTTAAATTAGTGAATTAGAGCTGGGCAGTGGTGGTGCACGCCTTTAATCCCAGCACTCGGGAGACAGAGGCAGGTGGATCTCTGTGAGTTCGAGGCCAGCCTGGGCTACAAAGCAAATTCCAGGAAAGGCACAAAGCTACACAGAGAAACCCTGTCTCAAAAAACAAAAAACAAAAAACAAAAAACAAAAAAAAACCAAAAAAAAAAAAAATTAGTGAATTAGTTTTAAAGAGTAACAATGGCATTCTCTCATAATATTGTCATTTAGACACATTTTTATCAATCATAAGGCAAATTTTACCCCCATAATAGTACAAAAATATTGTTTACACCAATGATTGTTGAGTTAATGAAGAATTTTTTAAGATCTGAAAAAGTTATGAGTGCAAATCTCTAATCTAAAATGTAGAGGTTTAGACAGGTACTCTCCTAAGACAATATTTGAAGTCATATAACGTATGTGTGTGTGCCTGTGTTTATAAGTGCTGTGTGTGTGTGCATGTGTGGTGTAGGGATGTGTGTGCAGGTGCACATGCCTGTACATGCGGAGACCAGAGGCTGCTATGTGTCTTCCTATGTTGCTCTCCTCATTATAGTTTGAAACAGAGCCTCTCACTGAACCAGGACCCTGGCATTTCAGTTAGTCAAGCTGGTCAGCAGGCCCCGGGATCTACTTGTTCTCACTTCCCCAGCAGAGGTGACAGACAGGCTGTCCTGTCTGACTTCCACTATGAGTGCTGGGAATCTGGAATCAGTGAACATTGCACTCACTGAGCCGTCTCCCCAGCCCCTGACCTTTATGCTGCCTAGTCTTATGTCAACCTGACACAAGTTCGAGTCATTTTGAAAGAGGGAACCCCAGCTAAGAAACTGTCCCCACAAGACTGGCCTGTGGGCTAGCCTGTAGTGCATTTTCTTGATTGATGATTGGTGTGAGGAGTCCAGGCTGGTGGTCTTGATTGCCGTAAGCAAGCAGCTTGAGCAAGCCATGAGGAGCAAGCCAATAAGCAGCATTCTTCCACGGTCTCTGCATCAGTTCCTGCCTCCAGGTTCCTGCCTCGAGGCCCTGCCCTGACTTCCCTTCATGATGGACTACAAGGAATAAGGTGAAAGAAACCCTTTCCTCCCAAGTTGATTTTGGTCATGGTGCTTTATCACAGCAAAAGAACCCCTAGCCAAGACAACCTTTAGAAATAATTACAGGGCCGGTAAGATGGCTGAGTGGGTAAGGTGCTTGCTGTCAAGACTGATGACTTGAGGTCAGTCACCAGGTCCCACATGGTGGAAGGAGAGAACTGACTTCTACAAGTTGTTCTCTCACCATGTGCATATGAGCACATGTGTACGCATGAACATATATACACATGTAAAATATATACATATAAAAATTTTAAATATATATATATATATATTTTACTGTATGTGTGGTGTTGAGAATATCCTGGAATTATTGCAGATAATACAGAATATGGCCTCAATTTAGAAATTGAGCATCAGTAAGAAATGTTACAACAATGCCCTCTAGTGGCTGGAGAGAACAGCGAAAATGAGGAAATCCATGAAACAAGCGTCAAGAGGATGCAGTCAAAGGCCTTGTGTCTCCTGCCCTTGCACTACCTCCCAGGGTAAGGGGGAAAGTGATGAATACTGTTCTGAGCAAACGAGACACTCGTCACAGTCATCTGCAGACAGGTCATGAGGTGGGTGGCCACCTCACTGTCTGCGAGGCAGGCCCAGGAAAGACTTCTTCCAGGAAATGTGAACCACGTGATCTCTGACATCTTGAAGACCACAATGGAGAAAGCAAGTCTGAGCGGGTTGAGCATCCCTCATATGAAAAGCCCAAATCACAAACGTTTCAAAATCCGAAACATTTTGAGAGCCAACACAATTCCTCAAGTGAAAAAAATCCATACTTTACCTTGGATGTGATGGTTTAAACCCAAAATAGAGATGCTAAAAATGCTGCATAACATTACCTTCAGGCTATGCGCATAAAGAAGCTATGAAATGTAAATGCATTTTGTATTTAGAAACGGGCCACATCTCCAAGGTATTTCGTTATGCATAAAAACTTGGAATCTGGAACACTTCCGGTCCCCAGCATTAGGGTAAGGAATACTCAACCTGTAGACAGGAAATGCCTCAAGTCCAAGTGTGTTTTCAGACTTGGGTTAAGCTGGTTCCCAGCAAGGCTTTCCAGAGCCACTCACATCCCAGAGCTGCACAAAGTGAAGCAGTACCTGCAAGTGCCCAGTAGGCGGTGCCCACGCATTCATTTAGCAAGACAAAGGCCACCAGGGACATTCCTCCATTCATCATGCCCACCAGGAAGCGAGTCACTGCGAAGAATTCATATGAGGGGGAAAATCCATTTGCGATAGCAAATAAGATGTCAAGAGCAAAACCTGGGAAGAGAGGAACAATATTCAATGACCCAGAAGCAAAACAGCATTTGAAGAAAATAATAAATTATATTCATCAGTTTGTGAAATAAACCTGTGTAAACTTAAATGTCCTGAGCTATGTTTTTCATTTTTTCCCTAACAATTTGCCCCGAAAATTATGAAGAAAAACCAAGGCTTGCTTTCTTTGTTTTACAATTTCTGTCAATCACACACCATTTTCAGTTATTCATAATAATGCTAGAAATTGAAAATCCTCACTCATACTCGGCCTGTCACGACAGCTACGCCAAGTCCTATAGAGCTCATTTGAAACAAATCAACACAGAGAGACACCAGAAATAGGCTGGGAAGGCTCTGGCAATCTCCCACGGCTCTCTTTAGAAGCAGGGCAGTGATTACAATTTGGGGGTTGTAGAAAGCACTGTCAATATATATATATATATATATATATATATATATATATATATATATATATATATATATAAAATGTTTTTTTAACAGAAATAGCTGGCCTTAGCCAGGTGAGCTCATTCGGGAAAAGCACGTGATCAGAGTCATGACTAGCTGCAGTGTGGCCTGTCGCCAGGGTAACAAACAAACTGTCCACCTGCGGACTCAGAGAACTTTAGGGAACTAACCCCCTGGTTACTTCCCTAAGTGTCTCAGGGAGACAAAGCCTCTCTCTTCCTCGGTGTCCGACCGTGGCGAAGGTTACCTGTGAGATAGACCTTTTTCCTTCCGAAGCGATCTGAAAGCTGACCAAAGGAGATGACGCCAACAAAGACACCACTGAAGAAAAAGGAGCTGGCCACGCTGACCTTGTAAGATCGGTTGGCAATTAAAAACCACTAGGAGGGAAAAGAAACGAGGGGACAGGTTAGGGACAGAGAGCAATACATACACTGAACTAAATAAGCCTCGAGTACAACACAGACTCAGACACAGGAACGTCTCTGCCTCAGCCACCACTAGCCAGAATCTGGAAGAATATTCATCACAGACACCATCCAAGGAGACAGTTAGCTTCCGAAACACTGGGAAGCACTGCTGCTAGGTATACTACCAGAGTACTCTTCATGTACTCCAGACAGAGCTGAACCCAGCATGCAAGGGCTCATTACATACGTGGCTGCTGACTATGGCCTTATCCTGAGTCCTCCTGGGCTGTCTTTGGAGAGGAGAAGTCTTGTTTTATTTCCATTTTTCTGATGCCTACACATCACATGGCACATACGAAGTCATCAATGAATAAATCTTTAGTTTAGCAGATTAGTATGTTTAAAATCCCTTGAACACATTCCTCAAACAATTAAAATGGGAGAGGGGCTGGAGAGATGGCTCAGAGGTTAAGAGCACTTTATTACTCTTCCAGAGGACGGGGTTTGATTCCCAGCACCCACATGGTGGCTGAAAACTGTCTGTAACTCCAGTTCCAGGGGATCCAATGCTGTCTTCTGGCTTCTGAGAGCTTTGCACAGATATACACACAGGCAAAACACTCAGGCACATAACATAATAAAAAAATTAAAGAGAACATCATATAATCTTGCAATTTCTCTTCTGGGTGTATATCCATGAGCAGCAAATTCTAAATTCAGGTTCTCCATTAACGCCCAGGTTAACACACCATATTCCCAACAATCAAAGTCGAAGTAACCTGTGTCAATTAACAGATCAATAGAGAAGTAGAACACCATACTCATGTACAATGGAATATTACTCAACCTTTAAAACTAGTGCAGCCTGATTCATACTACAGCCCACATGAACTTCTGACATTATAGACATTATAGAAACAAGCCAGGCAAGAAGAACAAACACTGTGTGACTCACTCATATGAGGTACCTGCAAGAGTTAGCGTCACAGACAGAAAGAATAGTGGTTACAGGGATTAGGGGAGGAGGAACAAAGGAGTCACTGTTTAATGAGAACAGACTTTCCATGTAGAATGATGAAAACATTCTGGCTGGATGGTGGTGATGGCTGCAGAATAATGTGACTATATTAAGGCCACAGAATTAGACACTTAAACATGAAAATGGTGACCTTTGTGCCATGTATATTTGGAACAATAAAAATCTTCCTAGAGTGCTATGGTCTACTTCAGTACAATTATGAAGTAAAGAGAAGGCGCTCTCATTCTGCTCAGCATCAGTTTCTGACATCCTATCCAGTGACGGTTAGCAGTGAAGAACAGGAAGCATGTCATAACCTCAGAGGACACAAAGATACACCTTTCCTCTTCCCAGCCCCCTTGCAGAGCCACCCAAGAGCCCTTCTCACTGAGAACTCTCAAGGTGGCACTTTTCTGGGCTGCCTGTCTCTGTTGTTTTATGTTACCCCTCTTTTTGGGGCCCCAGACAAAAGACAACTCTTTTTGGGGCCCCAGAAGCACATCTACTTTCTCTCCTTGCTCTGTATCTCCTATAAGGGTGACGAAGGTCTTGACAAGTCAGTTCTAAGGATCATGACAGACAGGGTTATAATGTGGTAGAATTTCATATAAAAGAAATGAGGAGAGCTCTGGCATTTGAAGAAGAATTTTGTTTTGTGAAAAGTTAATTCGTTTTGGATACAGTGGTAGTTCTGTAGAAGAATGTTCAACTCAGGAGGAATGACTACGGTGCATATTCTGAAATGGAAAAATGAGACATTAGATGCCATGTTGTCCTAGGGAACCAGCTCAGCATCTATCACAGGGACAGCCCTGCTCCTAGGATAGACGAAACAGGGCCAAATGGAATTGTTCTTACGTACAATTAACCTCTTAATTCAAACACTTGTTATATTCATCATGTTCTTAATGCTCATGTTTACATGCTCTTACAAGCTGGCTTGCAACTTTAGCCTTAATTCCTCTGTGCTTTAGGAATTCCAGTCTATTTACATGGTCAAGATACTCATGTGGACAGTGAGCTGGGTCTGTTAATCAGGAGGAAATGACTAGTCTATTGACTGTATTCACCAAATTTCTCATATCTACTAAAAAGATTACAGTGCCATCCCTTAACAACTGAATAGCTGTCAACTTGGACAACAATTTTAGGAAGAAATGGCCCAAGGGATGGTTAACCAGCAAATTCCAAATCCTGATTCTCAGGCTGCCAGTTCCAAGTGTCAAAGTCATTTCTACTCATTTTTCTTCAAGTCGATGCTGGTTAAGCTAATGCACTCTCCCATCTCTCCTGGAATACATTCAAGAACAAACAGAAAAATTAAAAAGCAGATTTTTACAAAGCTAAATAGAGAACGGATAGTTAGAATCCAGGCTCTCTCCCTAGCAGAGCTCCGTGAATTGAGCGTGCTGAGGCATGGGTGAGGAGTAGTTAGGATCATCAGCTGACAGAAAGCTTTCCACAACCCTATCCTGACTCTGTTTTACATTTTCTTTATGTTTGCAACTTCTCTAAATCATCTTTTAAATTCTTATTACTTAGCTACCATGTGATTAAAAGGGTTTTACTTTGTCCAAACTTGACCAAGATGCAGTAAGACATGATCCCTGTATCTTAAAGACAGTGGCTGGAAGACTGGGTCAGTTGCTAGCTCATTTTCTTATCCTGTGGTCGTTATTTAGTGCCAAGGTAAAATCCAAACCAGGAAATCACCAGGACATAAGAAATGAAATGATAATGAACCAAATATAATGACCACGCTGACATTCTCAAGAAATGTTTTCATGAATCTTTAGATTTTAAAAATCAAAATGTGTAAGTCATTCATGTCTTTACTGGCTAGAGACTACTAAACTAGTGACTCCCCTGTTGTTTTTGTTAATTGCAGGCCTAATTCTAAAGCAGTTAGAATGAATGTTTTTTTTTTATACTAATTCATTTCAAACTGAAAAATTGCTTGCAAATCCAAAATACAAAATCCCACTTTCTCCCCACATACATTAACAGGAAAGGAAGACTATAATGACAAATATTTTTAGCCTCTCATGTTGACCTGACTGAACAACCAACATCCATCCATCCATCCATCCATCCATCCATCCATCCATCCATCCATCCATCCATCCATCCATCCATCTATCTATCTATCTATCTATCTATCTATCTATCTATCTATCTTCTCTCTAATCACTACATAGAATCTATAAGTATTTATTATATTCTATTTCAAAATGGAATGGAAGGGCTTAGTAGTAAAAACAGATCTCATCGTTCACTCATCTACAGAAAACGGGCCTGAGAGGAAACCAGGCACAATGCAGGGCCGAACCAAGAGCAGGTGCCTCTACCATAAAAGATGAGAGGAATATAAATATGGCCAGCACAGGTGCGAGCCCAGCACAGGTGCTCAGCAGAGCCTTCCAGCTCTTAAAAGAGGAGGGAAGGTAGGAGATGGATGAAAACGAAGACAGACTGACTCTTGGCTGGGTACCAGTGACATATTTGGGAGAGGTTTTTGTTCAGACTTCAGTATTACTTGTTTCAAGGCTGAGAATAAATGAGATGCCCAATGAGGGACTGAAGTATGGATACATGGAGGGCAAACCTGCCCTGGCTGCAATACAAAGTGTGGGATGGAGACGGCAAGCTGACTAATAAGCCAGGCGGCCTGGGCAGGATGGGGGCTTCTAGAAGACAACAGACTCAAGTCAGACCTGGAGACCTGGTGCTCAGAGAGGCTGAGCCATCTTGGAACGGGAATTACTGATGCCAACTGGAATAGACTACACCAACCAAACATGGAGAAAAGCTTGGAGATGAATTTTAAAGGAAGTTTTAAGATGCATCTTCAACACGTCTTGAACTCATCAAACCTTCAGCTTTATGGAGATGTCAAGTTGAATCAATGATTTCTGTGACATGGCAGAAATATGATCATCTGGGGGAAAAAACGACAATGTACGTCCCTAAAACAGACTCCGCGCTAAGGCATAATTCTAAAAGCCAAGTTAGCAGCCAAGTAATGAAAATGCAGACATCAAAGAGCTGTCACACAGGCAGGCTGCACACTTCACAGCTAGATAATTAACCAGCCGACTTCTACACTTACTCTCCTCCTTTACCCGCAGCCACCCTTCGTGCAGAAATGACAATAGACTGGGGAAAGACTTTCTATTTTTAGTCCTCTGCATTTGTTCCATTAAGGAAACATGCAGGAAAAACCAGCTCTCGGAAGACAGTAGAATAAGTAGATCTTGTAACTCAGAATAGTGCTTCTCCACCTTCCTAATGCTGCGACCCTTTAATACAGTTTCTCATGTGTGGTGACCCCCAACCATAAGCCTATTTCTGTTGCTATTTGTAACTGTACTTGCGCTACTCTTATGAATCATAACGTAAATATCTGTGTTTTCTGATGATCTTAGATGACCCCTGTGAAAGGCTCAGTTGACCTCAAAGGGGTCACGACCTACAGGTTGAGAACCATTGACTTAAGAGGAACAGGACAAGGTATTGCTAGAAAGGAAGAGAAAGAGAAAGGAAGTAAATGCTCTGTGGCCTTTGTGCTTAGAAAACAGAAGGCTTATGGGAGGGAACCATGACAATGTTTTAAAGTCACCGTCCACAGCAGTTTTTATTGTAATTTTTTCATATTTGGCTAGTATTATGCCCCAGGGTATGCCTCATTCCATGATCTGTGTGTCTTAATGCCCAGGAACGTTTCTGGTTTTAAACTGGGTTTGTATCACTGACTTGCAGTCTGTGTGCCATCCTTAGGTCCTAATGTGACACCAGCCCCAGATGCCATTCTTTGCCCTCCACACTGCATATTGCTGGGATGTCCATCTTCCCTGACTGCCCCAGAGCATGCACCAGGTCTTGTATAATATCAGAGGGACCAGCCTTAATATTATACAACCCAGGGGCTCAGGAGAGAGAACTACAAACGGCG